CCAACCTTGGCTCCCACTGCCCCAGCCCCGGGAGCCCAGCCACTCCTGACACCACCCTTCTTAGCAGCCCCTTGTCCTGGAGCCTCCACCATGACAGCGCTATCCTTCCCACCTCTCCTTTCTCAACGCCCCACCTCACCCCTGCACCTGTGCCCCACTCATCCCCTACCTCACCCCTGCACCCCCCCATCCCCTCCACACCTCTGCCCTTTCCCACTCACCCCTGCACCTGTGCCCCCTTATCCCCTCCACACCTCTGCCCTCTGGTCTCTCCCCCTCATCCCTACACCTTCCCCCCTCATCCCCTCCACACCTCTGCCCTCTGGTCTCCCCCCTCCCCAGTTCCCCGGATGAGGCAGCGCTGCAGGGTGGGGGCAGCAGCAGAGGGAGCAGCAGGGACACCAGGCCAGCTGCCAGCGGGGAGGGGAGGGCAGGCCAGGGAGCGGAGCACAAGCAGCGAGGGGGAAGGAGGCCCGCGGCACTGAGTAAGGTGTAATGCAGCCAGCCCGGCCTGACTGCCCAGCTAAGCAAGGAAAGCAGACGCCAGTGTGGATGGCTTCCCGCGTACCAGGGTGGGGACGGGACGGGGGACCCTGGGCGCTGAGGGGCAGGCTGTGACTCCTGCGCCCCATTCTCAGGCCTCCGCGGGCCCACCTGGGCCACAGGAGCCTGCAGGGACGGGCATGTGTGTGCACATGAGTGTGGGGTGTGCACACGTATGACTTGCACCAGAACCGGCACAGTCTGCCACAGGGACGCAGCGACCCTGCCTGCACCGCCTCAGCCAGAGCACCTCGCCCCCCGGGGTCACCTCTCCCAGAAACATGACCTCGGAGCCGCTGTGTCACCCGTGTACCCGGCACTGGCACCGGCGAGTCCGCCCCAGTGACGGCTCCGACCCAGCATGCGGCTGGCGCCTGCGCCCACCTGTGTGGCCTTCCCCGGCCCCGAGAGCTGGGACCAGGCCAGACCGGTTCACAGGTGAGACACTGAAGCCAGGAGCGAGATGACTGGTCCAGAGACTCCGTCTTACCCCCACCCGGGACCTCAGAGCCGGCCGAGGACTCGGGGACTCGCTCGGGATCACCCAGCGCTGCCTCCTCCAAAGCCGGGGCTCCGGGCTTCGAGCCCCCAAGGTGGTCTGACTCCTGACATCAGTGTCATGACCCGCTTTAAGGCGCCAACGCTCTGACCCTCCGGCCCCCTCCAAGCCCGGCCCTGGACAACCGGCATCCAAAACGAGGTCCCAAACCAACAGCTCCCTCCACACCCCCCCAGGGGCCTGCCGCCCGCCCGAGGGCAGGTCAGAGGGGCAGCACTAAGCGAGTGGGAAGAGCTGGCCCCTTC